AAGTTTTCTATTCTCTCTCCTGTTCTCCCTTCTTCAGTCCTTCTCAGAGCTTCATAACAACCTTCTCAGTTGCCGGTTGGGATAGTAGCTGGTTTCTCAAACCTGTCTAGCTCCAGCAACACCAGCTCCTTTGGGTTTCCTTCCACGTCCACAATTTCTGTCACTCTTTCCAACTGCCAGCGTGATGAAGTACTGCTTCTGTCAGGACTGGTTCTGGGAAGGAATGGGAGAGTAGCCTGGAGCTTGGGCTGGTTACCTTGCTTCTCTCTCGCCCAGCCAATCTCTCTGAGAGATGACTACTTTTCCCCATCTATCCTTGGAGTGACAGCAAACATCCGCATCTCCTCCTGGACTTTCCCTCTGAATGCCTTAGCTCTTTCCCTGACAGCTCTCTGTAGCTCCTCTGGAAAATACTTTGTTTGGACACATGAGGTGGTTGCTCTAGGAGACAAAGAGTGACACTTGGGCAAAATACACTCCTTGTCAGAAAGCAAGGGCTAGGACAAATAATAATAATAATAATAATAATAATAATAATAATAATAGACTCTGACACAAACCAGTAAAGGTGGTCCCAGTGGTGATTGGCTCACTGGGTGCAGTGCCTAAAGACCTTGGCCTGCACTTAAACACAATTGGCACTGACAAAATTACCGTTTGCCAGCTGCAGAAGGCCACCTTACTGGGATCTGCATGCATTATTCACCAGTACATCACACAGTCTTAGACACTTGGGAAGTGTCCGACGTATGATCCAATGCAACAGCCAGCAGAGTGATCTTATTTGCTGTGGACTCATCTTGTTGTGTTTCAAATAATAACACTTCATTTATATTTCGCCCTTCTCACCCCGGAGGGGACTCAGGACGGACCACAGTACACATACAGGCAAACATTCAATGCCGCTTTGTATAGACAATACACAGACAGAACAGAAAGAGGTGTGTTGTTTCGACTCAGTATCAAGCTGTTTTGGTGCCATGGAATTTTGGGCTCGAGTCCAGCCACAGGGGGTGCTGTCGCTCCATCCTCTATGACGAAGAGCCATCAGGACTTCCTCCTTCCTTTTGGTCACCCAGCATTTTCTGATCTTCGTTCTTTATGGCATCATAAAACACCTCCCCCGCTTTTAGAGATACCTAATTTATCTAATTACAGCTACAGCTGTTTTCAACTGCTTAGGTAAACAGTGAGCAGGGCTGACAGCAGCTCATGCTGACCCAGGGCTTCAAACTTGCAGCCTTTCGGTTGACAGATCTTGTAGTTGCTGGTGATTTACCAGCTGTGTCATCTTTCACTGGATTTCAGACTCTTGAGAGATTTTTTCCTGGGGTCAAGATTTTGTCAGAAACTATTATCCTTGGAGGATGACCTCCCTTAATCCTTGCAAGTCTGTAAGATAGCTGCAAGGAGATCCTTTCAGGGTATTGACAAATATGACCTATCTTTGTTTCTGCCTGAGAATGCTGTCCACACCTAAGCACATTTCATGACCCCCTTTTTTGCAAACATTTTCCCCTGCAGTTTTACTACTCATGCTCCCCTCCAGGGCCAGTCTGTTCCACTGTCTAATTTGAAAGGCAAGAAGACACCTCTCCTCCACTTCTCTGTGCCAAAGTCACCTGTTAGACTGGTAGCATATTCAAAGCAAAGCCTGAGGCACACACAGTGTATATTATAGACAATCCACTTCACACACAGAAGCTAGTGGGACAGACAACTGGATCCTGCTTCAACAGTGATGATAGGATAAATATCTCCACCACACCTAAGGCACTGAGTTAGTTTGAATGGTTACATAGATGGGTGATGTAATGAAGGCTGGGAGGCCTAGGGATGAAAGCTTAAAAGCTTCCTTTCACTGTTGCTCTGGGTTCATCCCTTTAACAATATGACTATCATATTTTAGAACAGTGGTTCCCAACCTTTTTTTGACCAGGGACCACTTGACCAGGGAACACTTTGACCAGGGACCACTCTCCAACATTAGTACCAAAAGGGTTATGAATCAGTTTTTGGTCAGATGTGGAAGATGTCTATTTGTCCTAGCACATACTTTTTCTCACTTATATATCTCATATTTAGAATGTTTTGTCTTTCAATTGGTCTTTGGGAAATAAAGAGATGTTTTCTTTGCAATGATGCTTCTGAGACTGGCACCTCTGAAGAAATCCCATCCTCGTAGGGAATATCCATTCTCCTTCATATTTAGTTTAGTCACTGGTGGTTGTATAGACAATACACAGGCAGACAGAAGAGAGTATAGACAATACACATAATAGACAATTACATCAGCAGGTGCAAGGCAATGCCTTCCACTGCTCTGAGAGCAGCAGACTGCCTTAAAGAAGCATGGCACAGCCCATATAACTCATACGACTCTGTCCTCTTACCTTTATGGGTTGTTTACTCCCTGCTCAACCTGCCAAATGATGCAATATATTTCATTATCAGCAACTGCAGTAGCATACATCACATAAATAGAACTATGGGGAAAGTGAGAGTCCAAGTGGACTGCCTCACCTGAGCAGGCTGCCTCCCTGCTTGCTTTGCTAGGTCCAGGCATTTACCAATGATCCCATCGGCGATGATAAGTTTTATTCTATCAAGACTACTTCTAAGCCATAAAAAGGGATGTGTGTATGTGTGTGTGTGTGTATAGAAATACACACACATGTATATGTTCCAAGGAATATGAAATACATTAGTACATACCTGGAAACAACCATTTTGCTTGATATCATGTATAATATGTTCTTTTAAAAGACACACTATTATGGAGTGTGTCTTTCAATAATTCTCTTCAATTTCCTATCCTGCCATATGCCCCCTGTTTTTTATTCTGTGCATCTGGCCTATCTGGTGAAGGGAGGTGGACTGGATGGCCTTTAGGCAGCATTTCTCAATCTGGGGATCAGGGCCCCTGAGGGGAGGTCATGAGGGGGTGTCAGAGAGCTTGCCAAAGACCACCAGAAAATACAGTATTTTCTGTTGATTGTGCGGGTTCTGTGTGAGAGGTTTGGCCCAGTTCTATCGTTGGTGGGGTTCTGAATGCTCTTTGATTGTAGGTGAACTATAAATCCCAGCAATGACAACTCCCAAATGTCAAGGTCTATTTCCCCCAAACTCCACCAGTGTTCACATTTGGCCATATGGAGTATTCATGGCAAGTTTGGTCTAGATCCTTCATTGTTTGAGTCCACAATGCTCTCTGAATGTAGGTGAACTAAAACTCCCAAACTCAAGGTCTATGCCCACCAAACACTTCCAGAATTTTCTGTTGGTTGTGGGTGTCCTATATGCCAAGTTTGGTTTAATTCAATCATTTAATTCAATCATTCAGAATGCTCTTTGATTGGAGGTGAACTGTAAATCCCAGCAACTACAAATCCTAAATGACAAAATCCATGCTTTTTGAGTAATGGTCACTCCTTGGGGTAGTAGGTGTATTGTGTCCAAATTTGGTGGCAATTCATCCAGTGGTTTTGAGTTATGTTAATCCCACAAACAAACATTACATTTTTGTTTATATAGATGGTTTTCTGTGCATGAGCGGATGGTGACTACTGGACGGCATATGTTCTGTATCAGAAACCTGAGCTGGTGTCTTTCCAATGCAATTTTCTGAATCAGCATCCCAAATAACCAAACCGAATCTAAAGTTGACAAAAAACTGAATCGTGACCGTTTTAGTTGTCATGTTGGAGATTGATCCCTGGACAAAGTGGTCCCTGGTTAAAAAAAGGTTGAGAACCACTGTGCTAAAGTTAAGAAGTTTCTTTCTTTTTAAAAGTATTTCTTATTACAAGCAAATAAAGTTTACAAACAGGATATAAAACTTTCACAGAGACAAGTAATGTGATCATTTATCATTGTTAGTCAATGCAGTGTAGGTAGTATCTTTTGTAACAGTTTATTAGGATGTGTAGTACATAAACGTTGAGACAATTCTGTTGCAGCAATATCACAATATCTGAAACTAATTGCAAGTTGGAAGAGCTCATTTTGCAACTGTGAGCAATTCTTTTATAGAGCATTTGATTACGGAGTGTGTAGATGTAACATTTTAAAAGAAGACAACAGCCTTTAATGAAGAATTATAGTGTGTGTATATTATTATTTTACTGACACAAAAACACAGTATGAGACCTAGATGCTGCATTTCGTATCACAAAATCACAAGGCGAACACTTCCCAAGCGACTAGGACTGTGTGATGTATTTTCAAATGATGCACGCAGATCCAAGTAAGGTGGTCTTTTGCAGTTGACAGATCGTGATTTTGTCAATGTTTATTGTTTCCAAATGTTGGCTGAGATCTTTTGGCATGGCACGCAGTATGCCAATGACCATTGGGGCCACCTGTACTGGTTTATGCCAGAGCCTTTGCAGTTCGATTTTGAGGTCTTGATAGCAGCTGAGTTTTTCCTGTTGTTTTTCTCAATGTGACTGTCACCGGTATGGCGACATCAATAATCCAAACATTTCTCTTTTCCACAATAGTGATGTCTGGTGTATTGTGTTCCGAAACTTTGTTAGTCTGGATTTGAAAGTACCACATTGTTCAGTTCTTGTGGGTTTTTTGAGGCTATATGGCCATGTTCTAGAGGCATTTCTCCTGACGTTTCGCCTGCATCTATGGCAAGCATCCTCAGAGTGTCACCTCGGAGGATGCTTGCCATAGATGCAGGCGAAACGTCAGGAGAGAATGCTTCTAGAACATGGCCATATAGCCCAAAAAAGCTACAACAACCCAGTGATTCCAGCCATGAAAGCCTTTGACAATACATTACCACATTGTTGTTGTTGTTGTTGTTGTTGTTGTTGTTGTTGTTGTTGTTGTTGTTGTTGTGGGGAAGTAGTCCATATACCACAGTATCATCAGTGAAACAAGGGGAAAATTATCTTCTTCCGATGTTGATTGTTGTTTTCCAATTTCAGAAAACACCTTTCTCAGAGACATGTTGGGATCTGCAGCTCCCGACACACCTCCCTAGTCTGGTTCTACCAGCTACCAGCTCAGACAAGAACGTGGAAGAAAAGAAGGCACTCCTGCTGTTTTCTCCACGGAGTTAAGACCAGGCAACAAGGCTTCTCCGACATGGTGTGGTGGGCTTTGTAATGGCACAGCTCAGAGCCTGTTAGAGCAGAAGAGAGGTATGTAGATCTAAATTTTGAATGCACAGCAAAACTAGGCTGAGTTTTAAAAGTTTATTGGCACTGTCCACTACTAGCATGGGACTTACGTAAGGGTTGGTGTCAAGGTGTTGGAATTATTGTGCTCTCTTTCACAAGAGCTATAATTTAGAGGGAGCTAAGAACTGGAGGGGCCATCCCAGGTTTTGTTACACACCCAAAGCTCATGGGATGACCTTGCACCAGCATCAGCGCCAGTTTAAGTTCTCTCTGCCATGCTCCCTTCCTCAGTAATAAGACAGACTAGTCTTGCAGAGATATTGTAAGGGGTCATGATAAACTCAACATATAGAGTTAGATTTGGAGGCATTTCTTTTCCATCCTCTCCTATAATAATAGAATGGGCTCATTGAGTGGAATGTACAAGAAGCCAGAAAAGAATGTGTCTTCAGAAACATTAAATTAAATTTATGGAATTTATTAGTACAAATTTTGATGCTTGTTGCTACTTTAGATAGATTTTTAACGAGTTAAACTTACAGATGTGGGATAAGCCCAATAGAGATTAGAAGTCAGAATAAAGGGGAACTTCTATGATTGATTGCAGCGTCCTTGGTCTGAGCATCCTGAGTCAGTGTACAGAAGAGGGAGGGGGCACCCGTCCATTGGAAGAACTTCCATCCTGTAGAAGGATGCTGGCATAGGGATCTCCAGCAGAGGTAACTGTATACTCTTAAGGGTCATTAAGCCAATGCAGACACTTGGGATAGCCAAAATATACTGCACATCTTTTTAAGAAGCTGATGGCACAGTGGGTTAAACCACTGAGCTGCAGAATTTGCTGACCAGAAAGTCTGAGGTTTGAATCCAGGGAGCGGAGTGAGCCCCCACTGTTAGCCCCAGCTTCTGCCAACCTAGCAGTTTGAAAACATGCAAATGTGAATAGATCAATAGGTACCGCTTTGGCAGGAAGGTAACGACACTCCATGCAGTCATGCTGGCCACATGACCTTAGAGGAGTCTACAGACAACACCGGTTCTTCAGCTTAGAAATGGAGATGAGCACCTCCACCCCAGAGTCAGACACAACTAGACTTAATGTCAAAGGGAAACCTTTACCTTTTTATGTAGCTAGTGGAAGCTATGCCATAATTTTGGCTATAAGTGTTTTCTTATGAACTTTCTTAGAAAAGTCTTTGGCTAATTTTCTACCCCTGCCCTGGTACTTTTCTCCTTCAAGGAGTGTGAAAGACAAACAAGATGAATGAAGAGAACCATAGGCAGATGCCAGCTGGGAAGATAGGTAGGGAATCCTTCCCCATCACCAGCATTAAGAGGTTTTTAGTTGGGGAAGTCCAGTTGGACCATCAATGAAGCTTCTCCTGATTGGAAAGTTCAGATTGTGGGGGACAACTTCTGAAATTGACAGAACTACTTCAGGTAGATATTTGAAAGCTCCAATATAATTAAACAAACAAAAGAATTACACGTTGTAAACCAACTTGGATCTCATACTCAGAGGAAGGCAGGAATAAACAAACAAACAAATAATAAATAAAGCCCTGAAAGTAGAAGCCTAGCCTTGCAGGAAGACTACAGAATGCTGAGCTATTTTCTTTTCTCGAACATGCTAAAATCAAATGTCACTGTATTATTTGGTGAAATATGACTATGGATCTAGTCACTAGGGCATCACTAGGAACAACAACCTGAAACATCCTTGGGAAGCAGCCCAAGGTTTCAGGCTCTGGGATCCTCTTGACCCTACACACACACAAACGCCGCTGAAGTCCTAACTCACAAGTTCTGTGCTTCTAGAGCAGTGGTTCCCAAACTGTGGGTCCCCAGATGTTTTGGCCTTCAACTCCCAAAATCCTATCAGTTGGTAAACAGCTGGGCTTAACAGTGGACTCTGCAGAAGATGCTTTAGCTGTACTTCATAAAAAGTAAAACCACTTTGTTATCAAGCCTTGCAAATATTAATTTGTTATCAGTAAATGTGTGATTTTTGTACCTATTTTATCTACCTGTATACCTAAGGTCACATAAAAATTGCAAGTGGAAAGTTTAAGAAGCCCTGCTCTACACTCTTCAAGCAGCGAAGAAGAAACAGTTCTCCATCAGTGGAAGACTGAAGCCAACTAGAAAAGGTTAGTTAATGTTACTTGAGAAGGCAAAGGCAAGACAAATGCCCACTTCTGCACTGAAAAGAGGAGACAGCATTAATTTCATTTCTGCTATCTAGAGTAGAGCAGGATTATGCTGGCTGTTCCTACTCAAACTTAATATTTATGGCATTAATTCCCCATAGTGTTCCTCCCACTGCCTTTAATAAATCCCTTTCTCTTTACAGACTCGTGTTATGTTTCAGCAGGGCGGGATGGGTCACTTGACTTTCATTTCTGATTACCTCTCTTGAGGAGACAACTCTTTTTTTGCCATCCATTCTTCACTAATGTTTAATTATTTTTCTTGTGGATACAGACAGATATTTGGGGATTAAGATGATAAGGGAGACAGACCTCGATGCTGAAGGAGAACTAAGGATTTAGCATTGAGGTGGATCAAGATCCTTCAGTTCACCATCCCAAGATGTGTTTGTTGTAGAGCTAATAATATTTTGCATGCTAAGTCACACAGCAATACCACAGGAGGTAGATTCCAGCATTACTTCCTCCTCTTTCTCCACCTTTTACTAGCCCTCTTCTAAGAACATGAGGGGCAGAGAATGAGATTTCTGGCAGCAGCATCAGCCACAGGTTCGCCACTTCCTCAATAGGCCATTCTCAAGACAAGACAGTAGTCCTAGCAACATTGCTACTCACCCCATATATGTGTATGGGGAGATGTGCAGCATGAAAATGGTATTCTTAGTTCTCTTAGCCTTCACTGCTTCTCTAGGCATTAACCTCATGATGGTCCTGACTAGCTCAGGAAAGGAGACTGCTGAGACACAGGATAGGTGTGACTTACTTACTTAGGTGATCCCTCGTTGTCCAAGTAGGATTGTCTTCCAAGATCGGTGTACTGGCGGTGAGTCCATAGGTGACTGTGGAACCCTGTTCTTGATCTGCATGTTCTCCCGCAGTGAGGACATTGATTTCCAGGTGGAAGGCGGTCCTGGTCGGGGTTGGCTTGACACGCCTTCCTCTTGGCATGTTTCTCTCTTTCACCCTCCATTCGTGCCTCTTCAAATTCTGCAGTGCTGCTGGTCACAGCTGACCTCCAGCTGGAGTGCTCAGGGGCCAGGCCTTCCCAGTTCGCAGTGTCTATGCCAGAGTTTTTAAGGTTAGCTTTGAGCCCATCTTTAAATCTCTTTTCCTGCCCACCAACATTCCATTTTCTGTTCTTGAGTTTGGGGTAGAGCAACTGCTTTGGGAGATGGTGGTTGGGCATCCGGACAATGTGGCCGGTCCAGCGGAGTTGATGGCGAAGGATCATTGCTTCAGTGCTGGTGTTCTTTGCTTCTTCCAGAACGCTGACATTTGTCTGCCTGTCTTCCCAAGAGATTTGCAGGATTTTTCAGAGGCAGTGCTGATGGAATTATTCCAGGAGTTGCATGTGACATCTGTAGATTGTCCACATCTTGCAGGCGTATAGCAGGGTTGGGAGGACAATAGCTTTGTAAACAAGCACCTTGGTATCCCTACAGATGTCCTGGTCCTCAGACACTCTGTGCTTCATTCAGGAAAATGCTACACTCGCAGAGCTTAGGCGGTGTTGTATTTCGGGATTGGCTGGTGACTGCTGGAAGAGCACTTTGGTTTTCTCGATGTTCAATGACAGGTCGAGTTTCTCGTATGCTTCTGCAAAGGTCACACCTATGCAGAAGCATAGGTGTGACACTCAGACTATCTCATCATATGGGGCTAAAATTGGCAGCATACACCGATCTAGCCCCAGTTACCCATGGAGCTAGCCAGCTCCCATCAGACGATGCCGTGCTGGCTCCGTGAGTGAAGGATGGCAGAACCAGCACGCTGCCACTACCGTGGAGGCTTCCTGTGTTGCCATAATCGAAGAGTGGAAGCCACGCGCTCACACTTCCCCCCTCCATGACATCACCCACCCGGTAATGCAGGCAATGCAAGGCATGGGGCAATGGATTCCCCACACCCATGGCGAAGCTGAGTGCCAGCGCCTCCTGCCACCAACTGTCTGATGAGGTCATAGAAGACTAGTGTTTGGGAATCGTGATAGAATGCAGCAACTCCACCCCATCCCCAACTTGATTCCCAGGTCTTGTGTGCTGCTGAACATACAACTCAAGACTTATAAGAAGGCAGACCTAATCTGCAAGTGATCTCCACACAACCTCTCCCATCCCATCCAAACCAAATTCCAAGATTCCAGCCTGATCTGTGTGCTCATCCAGGATCAAGTGCTAGTGGATTGGTGCTGGTTTGTCAAGCATTACTGCCTTGGAGAGTGGTAGAAGCGCTTTCTTTGGAGGCTTCCAAACAGAGGCTGGATAGCCATCTGTCGGGGGTACTGTGATTGTGCTTTCCTGCATGGTAGGAGGTTGGATTAGATAGTCCATACAATCTCTTCCAACTTTGTGATTTTATGGGTTGTTGTAGGTTTTTCGGGCTGTGTAGCCATGTTCTAGAAGTATTCTCTCCTGACAGTTTTTCTGCATCTATGGCAGGCATCCTCAAAGGTTGTGAGGTCTGTTGGAAACTAGAAAAATTGGGTTTATATATCTGTGGAAAGTCCAAGATGGGAGAAAATACTATTGTCTGTTGGAGCTAGGTATGAATGGTTAAATTGGCCACCTTGATTAGCATTTGATGGCCTGACAGTTTTTAGGTGTGCTTTGTTACTGCCTGGGGGGATCCTTTGTTGGGAGGCGATTAGCTGTTCCTGATTGTTTCTTCTCTGGAATTCCCCTGTGTTTGAGTTTTGTTTTTTACTTACTGTTATAATTTAGAATTTTAATACTGGTAGCCAGATTTTGTTCATTTTCATGGTTTCTTCCTTTTGGATGCTCGTGGATTTCATTCGCTTCTCTGTGTAGCCTGACATGGTAGTTGTTAGAGTGGCCCAGCATTTCTGTCTTCTCAAATAATATGCTGTGTCCAGGTTGGTTCATCAGGTGCTCTGCTATGGCTGACTTCTCTGGTTGAAGTAGTCTGCAGTGCCTTTCATGTTCCTTGATTCGTGTTTGGGCAATGCTGCATTTGATGGTCTCTATGTAGACTTGTCCACAGCTGCATGGGATACCGTAGACTCCTGCAGAGGTGAGAGGATCCCTCTTGTCCTTTGCTGAACATAGCATTTGTTGGATTTTCTTAGTGGGTCTGTAGATTGTTTGTGTGTTGTGTTTCTTCATCAGCTTCCCAGTGCGGTCAGTGGTTACCTTGATGTATGGCAAGAACACTTTTCCTCTTTTGTGATTCTATGTTTCTATGCCTCAGTTAGTGTTCAACAGTTGAACTTTAACCCAGGCTCTGTCTCACTCAGCCTAGTCACTGCATTATCCCCACATTGCTTCTCCCAACCTCAATCTTTCTAACATTTATAGTCAGTTCCTGCCATGTCAGCTCCACTGGCTGACGGTACATTTCCGAGCACAATTTAAAGTGCTGGCCATGGCCTATAAAGCCCTATACAGCTCCGGCCCAGCTTACTTGTCCGAACATATCTCCCTCTACGTTCCGCCTCATAGTTTAAGATCCACCAGGGAGGCCCTGCTCTCAGTCCCACATCTGGTGGGGACGAGGGACAGGGCCTTCTCGGTGGTGACAGCCCCCCCCCCACGCTTGTGGAATTCGCTCCCCAGCGAAATTAGATTGGCATCCTCCCTCCTTTCCTTTAGCAAAAAATTGAAATTGTAGTTTTAGAACCAGGCCTTTGGCTAGCAGGCATAATGGCACTTTGGACATTGAACTGGACCATATGATTGTTATGATAATGGAAATTGCTATGTGACCGTATAATTAATGTTATTGTTTTTAACATATTGTGTATTTATGGTTTTATATTGTTGTTATATTATGATATTGTAGCATCGAATTGTTGCCAGTGTTAGCTGCTGAGTCCCCTCTCGGGGGTTGAGAAGGGCGGGGTAGAAATGTCGTAAATAATAGTCCCGCTGGCCACTTCCCGCTTCTCCCTATCTCCCAAGCCTCTTTTAAAAAATTCCCATTTGCCAGTTTTCTGTTTTCTTTGTGGCTCTGGCCTTTTTTCCAGCTGCATCTAGAAATGCAAGTAGGGCTTTGCTTCTGAAAGAGCAGACAGGTGCACACAGCTACCATTCTGGTAAGGCAGGAATAGGTGCAGAGAGACACCCATCAGGTTTTGTTTTGTTTTTTTTAGAAATAGAAGCACAACCATGGCCAACACCACTTCCTCCTAGAACACCACCTGGGTTTCAGCAAGGAGGAAACACTAGCTTGTAACAATTAGTTATCTCAGTGGAATATCAGTACTATTAGTAACCTCCCAGTTAATGACAGGTGCTCAAGAGCGCAGGCTGTATCTGCAAGTCCCATTACCTCTCATTGTGGCATAAGCAAGGCCTAAAATATTTGCATTTTCACACATTCAAATCTGCAGGACTGTGAAACAGGGTGTCTGACTGTAGAGACAACCCCCTTTATCAGCATCACTTTTCTGTAGGACTAAACCCCAGATCACTTCTGGCTTCCGGAGGAGCAGCAACGGTCAAGCTCAATGGCAAGTTCAGATGCTGATCATCTGATCTCCCTTCGTTCATTTTGAACTTTTAACTTCAAATTCTTAGATCACAGACTGCAGATAACGAACATGGAACAGCTTAGACGATGCAAATAGACAAGGAGTCGAACTGGTAGACATTAATTATTATAGTTTCAATTGGTTTTTACATGGATTTTTATTATGCTATATTAAATGTTCTTAATTGATATGTATGTATGTATGTGTGTGTGTGTGTTTATGGCATCTAATTGTTGCCGATCTGTACGCTGAGTCGCCTTCGGTCTAAAAAGAACAGGATAAAAATGCTGTAAATAAATAAATAATAAATATCCCTGCTAATCTTGAAAACTAAGCAGGGTCAGCTCTGGTTAGTACTTGGATGGTAGACCACCAACAAATGCTAAACACTATCAGCTATATTTCAGAAGCAGGAAATGGCAAAACTACTTCTGAGTATTCCTTGCCTAAGAAAAACATGCAAAATCTACAGGGCTGCAATAAGTCAAAGGATCCCTCGATGGCACAGTGGGTTAAACCGCTCAGCTGCTGAACTTGCTGACCGAAAGGTCACAGGTTTGAATCCGGGGAGCAGCATGAGCTCCCACTGTTAGCCCCAGCTTCTGCCAACCTAGCAGTTCAAAAACGTGCAAATGTGAGTAGATCAATAGGTACCAGTCCTACCAGTAACAGCAGTCTGTGGTCATGCTGGCCACATGACTTTGGAGGTGTCTATGGACAATGCTGGCTCTTCAGTTTATAAATGAAGATGAGCACCAACTCCCAGAGTCAGACACGACTGGACTTAATGTCAGGGGAAAACCTTTGCCTTACCTTTACCCTTCCAATAAGTCAACAGACCACTTGATGGTACAAAAATACATAGACACTCCCCAAAAAGAAAAGATATCTAATATAAACAAGCCTTTTACTTACATCTCATGTAAGGCAGGGTGGGACTCATGTTTCCAGATGTCATTGCACTGGATGTCCCAGGACAGTCCTTAATGAAAAATCTTGGGAACTGCAACAAAATCTAAGAGTGCCAGATGTGTAGGTGAGAACTTATATCCAGGTGTAAATTATACTTCTACAAACCATGGATATAGACTCCCTGCCAGAGGGAACAAGCAAAATGTACCCAGGTAAAATCAAGATAAAGGGGAAATACAGAGAACACTTACCGGTATATGTATCGTCGACAGCTTTCATGACCGGAATCACTGGGTTGTTGTAGGTTTTTCGGGCTGTATGGCCATGTTCAAGACGCATTCTCTCCTGATGTTTCGCCTGCATCTGTGACAGGCATCCTGGACAACAACTACCATGTCAGGCTACACAGAGAAGCCATTGAAATCCACAAGCCTGTGGACAATTTCAACAGAAAGGAAGAAACCATGAAAATGAACAAAATCTGGCTACCAGTATTTAAAAACTCTAAAATTATAACAGTAAATAAAGAACAAAACTCAAACACAGGGGAACTCCAGAGAAGAATCTATCAGGAACACCTAACCGCCTCTCAACAAAGGATTCTCCCATGCAGTAACAAGGCACATCTAAAAACTGTCAGGCCATCAAATGCCAATCAAGGTGGCCAACTGAGACGTTCACACCTAGCTCCAACAGACAAGAGTTCTTTTTCTCACCCTGGACCTTCCGCAAATATATAAACCTAATTTCCCTAGTTTCCAACAGACCTCACAACCTCTGAGGATGCCTGCCATAGATGCAGGCAAAATGTCATACAGCCCGAAAAACCTACAACAACCCACTGATATCATGCATCCTGGATAGAGATTGACATGTGGTTCCAAGGTCCAACCTGATAGGGTTCTAAATGGGTAACTTTACATGTATAAACCTTGAGAAGACCTCTCCCTCCCAGCCTTGATGAGAATTGTAGCATCACAGACTTGGAAGGGGCCTTGTGGCCATAAAGTCCAAGCTTAATATAGGATGAAGACATTATCTTGCTTGCTTATTTGCTTGCTTGCTTCCTTCCCCACATCCCTCCCTCTCTCCCTCCACAAAATTTCAGGCAAAGTGCATCCTGTCCATTTGCTCACTTTTGGCTTGAATTTCATAAATGTGAAATTCAAGCAACAGACACATAGGGTCACTTCCAACATGGTTTTCCAGTCTTTGGATTTTCTTCTGCTTCAGGCAACAAAAGTTCTTGGGCCAGAGAAGAAAGCATGTACCTTTAATTGGATTTGGAAGGCATCAAATAACCTGTGCCATTTGGGGCACATTGGTTTAATATGCTCTACATCAGTGGTTCACAACCTTCCTAATGCTGGGACTCCTTAATACAGTTCCTCATGTTGTGGTGACCCTCAACCATAAAATTATTTTTGTTGCTCCTTCATAACTGTAATTTTGCTACTGTTACGAATCGTAATGTAAATATCTGATTTGTGTGTTTGTGTGTATGTCAGGAGCGAGTTGAGAAACTGCATGTCGCTTCTGGTGTGAGAGAATTGGCCGTCTGCAAGGATGTTGCCCAAAGGATGCCCAGATGTTTTTGATGTTTTACCATCCTTATGGGAGGCTTCTCTTATGTCCCCACATGGTGAGCTGGAGCTGACAGAGGGAGCTCATCCGCACTCTCCCTGGATTCGAACCTGCGATCTGTCGGTCTTAAGTCCTGCCGGGCCAAGGGTTTAACCCACTGGGCCACCGGGGGCTCCTAAATAAATATCTGATATACAGGATGCATTTTTCATTAACTAGACGAAATTTGGCATTAATACCTGATATGTTCAAATTTGAATACTGGTGTGGTTGGGGGGATTGATTTTGTCATTTGGGAGTTGTAGTTGTTGGGATTTATAGTTAACCTACAATCAAAGAGCATTCTGAACTCCACCAACAATGGAAATGAACCAAACTTGGCATACAGAACTCCCATGACCAACAAAAAATACTGTAAGGGTTTGGTGGGCATTGAAACTGAGTTTTGGATTTGTAGTTCACCCACATCCAGAGAGCACTGTGGACTCAAACAATGGTGAATCTGGGCCAAACTTGGCATGAATACTCAGTGTGCCCAAATGAGAACACTGGTAGAGTTTGGGGAAAATAAACTTGACATTTGGGAGTTGTAGTTGCTGGGATTTATAGTTCACCGACAATCAAAGAGCATTCTGAACCTCACCCATGATAGAATTGGGCCAAACTTCCCACACAGAACCCCCATGATCAACAGAAAATACTGTGCTTTCTGATGGCCTTTGATGACCCCTCTGAACCCCAGGGGTTCCGACCCCCAGTGATTGCAAGCACTTGGACAGCTTTCAGCTTTGTGGTTCTCTAATGTGGCAACTTCTGGCTAATGATTAAGCTTTGGTGCTTTGCTCTGTGCTCCTTTCTCTGAGTCAGGCAGGGCAAGTGTCTCAGGAGAGGGGGAAGGGGAAAAGGGAGAGAGAAAATGTGTCACTAGCGCACTTCCTTGTTTGTCATATTACTCGTAGCACGACAATCACACAGACAGCCGAGGATGCTGTTGCTACTTCACTCTTATTTTTGCCTTTATGCAGACTCTTGCATGGTTTATCTACTCACGGAGCCAAAGTTCATGTGCTGTTGTCAAATGCCAGGTTGCTATCGCAGAAAGAGGATTAACAAAATGGGATGGAAGGAAGTGCCAGTGACTTATTCCTGAAGGAAGAAACGTTTCAATGGCATGAGAGAAATTACTGGTCGGGAATCCTTGGGTGAACCTGGAAAGGTCTATGCAATGGGAGGCTTCTACCTAACATGTGCTACTCGGCAGAGTTTGGTCTGTTTCAAGTTTTCTGGAGAGCTAAAATTCTTACCGTTGCTGTGAATGTTAAGCAGAGGACTTTGAAAACTTGCCATTCCTCCAAAGCTACACAAGCGGAGAGGTAAATTTATTGTGTGTGTATGTATGTGTGAAACAGAGAGATGGGATTAGATGCTGGAATGGAAGCTACAAAAATCTTTGGATTGCAGGAGATCTCTGCATGGGTGCATGTGTGCAATAATAATATCATTGTGTGTTGAAATGTTAACACATGAACAATGAGATTCATTGGAATGAAGTGAAAGGGAATTCCTGGCCTTCAGGTGTCTCTTAAAGGAACAATCTGTCCACTAACATTAGTTATTAGGTATGTAACATATGTAGAAATTAATTTGTAAGATGGGCTGTGTCTCAATGCTTCTGTCTGCCTCTGGATTCTACTTTTTGTTTTGTTTTGTTTTTTCGTATCAGGAGCAACTTGAGAAACTGCAAGTCGCTTCTGGTGTGAGAGAATTGGCTGTCTGTAAGGACATTGCCCAGGGGACGCCCGGATGTTTTGATGTTTTACCATCCTTGTGGGAGGCTTCTCTCGTGTCCCCACATGGTGAGCTGGAGCTGACAGAGGGAGCTCATCTGCACTCTCCCTGGATTCATACCTTCGACCTGTCAGTCTTCAGTCCTGCCGGCACAAGGGTTTAACCCACTGTGCTACTAGGGGCTCCAATGGATTCTACTGACGATAAATCTTTCAACACTATTTTGAATGAGCTGCGGTGTCACAATGGGTTAAACCCTTATCCCGGCTGAACTGCTGACCTGAAGGTCGGCAATTCAAATCCACAAGACAGGGTGAGCTCCCATATGTCAGCTCCAGTTTCCCATGAAGGGACATGAGAGAATCCTCCCACAGGATGGTAACGCATTTAGGCATCCCCTGGGCAATGTCCTTGCAGATGGCCAATTCTCTCACTCCAAAAGCAACTTGCAGTTTCTCAAGTCAAAGCGACTTTTGACACGATAAAAAAACTATTTCAAATTTGTGAGCATGAGCTGTGATTATACTCAGTGGTGAAATGTGTACTCTCAGTGGCATTTCTTTGTCATGGCAGAGATAAAAAAGTTTCCAGTGAGGTCCTATGAATACTGGGTAATATTTCAAACTTTTATTTTAACATGTCTCCCAAGTACCTTCCAAGCAGAAATTCAGCAGGTACAGTTTCCCAGTCACCTGAATTCTGCCTGTTGTGTAGTGAGAATTGAGAAAGCTTGAGAACCCCTATTTTAAATCATAATTAATACTGTTTTTAGTGTTGAGAGCCACTTTGAGTCTCGTTTAAGCTGAGCAAATGGGACACAAATATATATAACAACAACAGCAGTTTGAAAACATGCAAATGTGAGTAGATCAATGGATAACACTTCTGGAAGGTAATGGTTCCCCATGCAGTCATGCTGGCCACATGAACTTGGAGATGTCTACGGACAATGCTGGCTCTTCAGCTTAGAAATGGAGATGAGCACCAACTCCTAGAGTCGAACACGACTAGACTTAATGTCAAAAGAAAACCTTTACCTTTACTACACTCATATAATCCAGTTCAAAACAGATAATCTGGATTCAGAAACAGGGTTATATGGTGGTATAGATCCAGCCTCAGACCCTTGAAAGTCAATGAAATGCTGAGGATATTCTGTTATTGAGACAAAATACTTGGGTTTTACTCACACACTCAGTAAAATTTGCTAGAATGTCACAGTGGCTTTCTTTTCATAGGAGGCATTCCAGGAGGGGAAGCAAGAAGGAGCTCCGTATGTCCCTCCTCCTGAAACAGTCTTGCTTCTTCTTTTTAAACTGTTGGGTAGGATGTTGTAATATGTGTTTGATCTTGGAACCCAACAGGGTGGTAATACTACTTCCTTCAGTGTGGATCTCTGCTGATGCAACATTTTTTGTCAGCATCATACTATTGACGTTTGTTTAGCTTATGATCTGCTAAGATTCCGAGATCCTTTTCTGAAGGACTGCTTTCAGGCTATATGTCAGTCATCCCTACATTTGTACATCTGTATTTTTTAATTAAATGTAATTTATTTTTAGATTGATGGCCTGGGTATAGTACCTTTGGTCCCCTATTAAAATGAATTTTGTTAATTTTGGACTGTTGGTTATGTCCCTCCCTATTTTGCGTCATCTGCAAATTACGTAAACATACCTTTTGTTATATCTAAGGCTGAATCCATACCACCAAAATAATTCAGTTCCTGTTATCGAAGTCTTTAATGGCCAGAATCACTTGATTGCTGTAAGTTTTTCGGGCTGTATGGCCATGTTCTCCTGGAACATGGCCATACAGCCTGAAAAACTTACAGCAACCCAATTCAGATCCTGTTTGCAGTACTTTGCTCAGATTTTACAAAGGGAATGTCTCACAGGCTCACAATAATCTGAACTCAATTTGCATTGATAGCCATGCATTTTCCCCATCTGAATTCAAATCACTACAACGGGAAGTTCCTACCATCTCCATATACTCACTGAATCTGATTATATTGGATCACAGCATCATAGCAGTTGCAGTTTACTTTCCCTGCATGCATATCCATTTTCGCTCAATAGCCTTTCCTGTTTACCTGTCATTGTAACTGCCCTTCTGTTGGAGTATGTCTTCTTTCTTTTTATTTAGCTAAACAGACTGCATCTTTTTCTGGGGAAATCCTACCTAGTGTTGTACTGTGTAGCAGGCTGGTGGTTCCATATCAGTAGTACCAGATCTGAAATTTCCTTTTTGGTCTTGTCTTGTTTGCTGTCTAGAATGCTAATGAGAGGGTTAAGTTGCTTCCTGGAGAGGATGTGGCACAATGTCTTTGTAATTTGTGTAGTGGATTTTTTTTTTTTTTTTGCCTTTAGTCCCTTAGGAATTGTGTCTTTGCATTTATTGTATTCAGAAAGATGATGTCCATCTGCACCTGGGCACATCTCTTGAAGAGACTGGTGGACTTCCACTCTATACAGCTAATCTAGTGTTTTAATCCCAAAGCATGAGCTTTTGTGGGTATAATAAACCCATTTCTTAAGATCCAGTAAAGGATGATAATGAAAGCTTAGGTATAAAGCATATTTACACAGTTGTGGGAGTAGGATATAATGAAAAAGATGCCAATCTTGACACTTGCTCTACATTTTCATTACAGTTAGTATTAGGCTTCTGCAATCTGGGCTAACCTTGATCTGTTTCGTGTCCTGGCTTTCAGTGGGGGGCCCAATCCATTTTTTGAGAACCTCCCAAAATCAGGAGAGCAGATATCTGTTTTCGTTCTGGGGTGCCAAAAGATCCATTTTCTATCGGCTCAATATGGAGGGGAGCTTCCCAGGCTCCCCTTCCTGCCATTTTATGCATTTAAGCTCTACTATAGAGGAAAGGCGCTCAGCTGCAGGCAGGTGCGCACTTTAAGGAGGCTTCTTATGTGTTTCTTAGTCTAGAGAAGGTGCTTAGCTGCAGGGAGGTGCACACACTTTCTGAGCTTGCACACCACAAGCACTTTCCAAGGCAAGGGGTAAGTTTACTCTAGAGGAGGCACTTGGCTGCAGGGAGGTGCAAGCACATTGTGGGCCTGCACACTGCACACACTTTCCAAGGCAAGGGGGCAGGTTTACTCTAGAGGATGTGCTTGGCTGCAGGGAGGTGCACACACTTTCTGGGCCTGCACATCACTCACTTTCCAAGGCAATGAGACAAATTTACTCCAGAAGAGGTGCTCAGCTGCAGGCAGGCATGTGTGCTTTCTGGGCCTTCACACCGCACATGCACTCTTTCCAAGGCAAGGAGGCTGCTCACGAAAAGCATTTGAGGAGCTGGAATTGGATCCCACTTACTTTTGTGTCGAGCTCATTTTTGTACCGGGAGGGGGCTTCCTGGTACGTGCTCTCGAAGGTAACAAAAGTAATGAAAGAACAAATGTAACAAAGGAAAATGGATCCACACAAAACTCTAGATAGTATTAACGTGTAAATGCAATAAATCTTATCAATCAGTTTTCTTTGTTTTAAAACTCTCTCTGAGAAGATTCCTTTTGCTGCAGGTGCAGTGGTGAATACCCTTATACTAATAGTAGTAGTGTGCTGTGGAGCCACTGTCATTTTTTCATACCTCTGCATTTCGCTTGAGGCCAGTTGCATGATTAGCCACAGTGCTACTTGTAGTTGTTTTCTGCTCTCCCCCGTAGGTGGGAGTTACATCTTCTAGCATTATCTCTTGCTTCCTTTTGGTTTGTCTCATTGTACAAGGGTTGAATGAAAAGTAATGCCTCCAACTTCATAGCACCTCAACAGACAGCAGTACTGGTATGCGGCAGGTATTGGCTTGTTCAGTAGACTCTCCTCTACAGTTCCATTTTGGTGAGAAGCTTAGCATTGAATGGTTGTGTTGTTGTATGGAACCCTGCACAGACGGTCAATGCGACTTAAGCAACGTGCAGTCATTGAAGTCTTGACAGCAGAAGGTGTCACCTCAAAGGAGATTCATCAGAGAATGCAAGCTGTTTATGGTGATTGTGTTGATGTGAGTACTGTGTGTCATTGGGTGAGTAAGTTTAAAGATGCTGAGGTGGGAACATCTGACTTGCATGACAAACAAAGAGTTGGACATCGGGTGACAACAACCATCGGGTTTCTCAAGCAAAAGATTGACAGATTGATTCAGGACGATCATCGTATCACTCAGAGAGAAATTTCAAGCATAATCGGCATTTCACAAGAATGTGTGAGTCACATTATTGCTTTACTTGGCTATCAGAAGATCTATGCACAATGGGTACCCAGGATGAGAGAACTGCGAGATGCTGGTTGCGGAAACAGAGTGTCGACTTCTTCCGTGACGGCTTCAGAAAACTTGTTCATCTTTGGCAGAAATGTATCCAATTGTCTGGAGATTATGTGGAAAAGTGACTAGTGGTAGTTAAAGAGCACATTCTAAGGATTATTTCTGTGTTTGATTTATTAAAATATTCCCATCCAAACCCAAGTGACGAAGGTGGAGGCATTACTTTTCATTCAACCCTCGTAGGTTTCTATGGTAAAATATATTCAAAGGAGTCTTACTGTGCTTGCTTCTGTGCTGTGGGAAAATAATGACCTTTGAGAGCATAACCTTTTGGAAAACCAGAATCTCCAAAGTCTTTTAAAAGCATGACCTTTTAGAGATTAATTAGCGTTTACTACCATTTGGAAAATCATAACCCTTTTGTAAAGCATTCCTGAGAAGAGCTAAAAACTCATTTATGTCAATCTTCTCTTTAGTGGTATATATCAGCCAGTATTCATGCAAGCCCCTGGTAGTGCAGTGGGTTAAAATGCTGAGCTGCTGAACTTGCTGACTGAAAGGTCACAGGTTCGAATCCAAGGAGCAGCATGAGCATCCGCTGTTAGCCCCAGCTTCTGCCAACTTAGCTGTTCGAAAACATGCAAATGTGAGTAGATCAATAGGTACTGCTTCTGCGGGAAGGTAACAGCACTCCATGCAGTCATGCTGGCCACATGACCTTGGAGGTATTTACAGACAACGACGGCTCTTCGGCTTAGAAATTGAGATGAGCACCAACCCCCAGAGTCAGACATGACTGGACTTAATGTCAGGGGGGAATCTTTACCTTTACTTATTCATTCAAGGCAAATTAGGTTTCTCAGTTGTCAGACTGATATACCTGGTTATCTCTTTGAACTGTTAGGAACAAAGATTGTGCCAATGCAAAAATATATAGCAGATCTTCAGAAGTGTTATTTCAGTTGCCCAAAAACATCTACCCTCCCATAAAATATATTTGGTTTTAAATCATGCTCTCAAGAGACAAAAATAAGTAGTCTTCATTAAAAAATAACATAGTTGGTTTACTTCCAAACGTCATGTATTCAGAATGTAGGTATATTCCTTATCAGTTGGAAGTTCTCTAAGACATTCTGTTGCAGTTTCTTCTCTGTCTTATGTCTAAAACATAACAAACACTGACTATACAATACACTACGCTACTGACTGAACACTGACTTCTAAAAATGGAGTCTTTGTCTGAATAGTCCCAGATATCTGATCGCATGGTCTGCAGTCCCTCCCACAACCTCAAACAAACAACATAAAAGTAAAGCTGCATACCTCTCTCTCTCTCTCTCTCTCTCTCTCTATATATATATATATATATATATATATATACACACACTAGCCGTCCCCTGCCACGCATCGCTGTGGCCCTCATGGGGGTTCTGTGTGGGAGGTTTGTCCCAATTCTATCGTTGGTGGGGTTCAGAATGCTCTGTGATTGCAGGTGAACTATAAATCCCAGCAACTACAACTCCCAAATGTCAAGATTCTATTTTCCCCAAACCACCAGTGTTCACATTTGGGCATATTGAGTATTCGTGTAGAGTTTGGTCCAGATCCATCATTGTTTGAGTCCACAGTGGATGTAGGTGAACTACAACTCCAGAACCAAAGGACACTGCCCACCAAACCCTTTCAGTATTTTCCGTTGGTCATGGGAGAACTGTGTGCCAAGTTTGGTTCAATTCCATCGTTGGTGGGGTTCAGAATGCTCTTTGATTGTAGGTGAACTATAAATCCCAGCAACTACAACTCCCAAATGACAAAATCAATTTTTTGAGTGAAGGACATACATTGGGTTGTTAGGTGTATTGTGTCCAAATTTGGTGTCAATTTGTCCAGTGATTTTTGAGTTCTGTTAATTCCACAAACAAACATTACATTTTGATTTATATAGATAACAGTAAGCAAAACAGAATCATATACAAACAAATTACTAGTGGAGGCTTGAAGAAGGTTGCTATTTCCAACACAACACCCTAGAATACTCTGGAATTTGCAGATAAATCAGTTTGTCTCCTCTACTATCATGAGTTTAAACTGCATGATTACCAATCTGTCAGACAAAATTTCACTGAGAATTGTTTGGATCAAGTAATTTGGAGGATGAAATTGAAGTCCAATTCACCCCCATACCACTGCTCTTTTTATATTAAGCCAGCCCCATTTTCAGTTTTGTAAAGAGAACCCTCAAAAATCTCTGCATTTTTCTGAGCATTTTATATATGCTTTTTCTTTTCTTTCTTTTTATTTTATTATTTATTTTTTTTTTGCATTTCCCCCCCACATCACCCACTATGGTTTTCGGAATGAAAATTAGATATGGCTGCTGTACTTTTATGGGTGTGTATTTCCTTACACAGCCATAAAAGGTACAGAAGCCACCTCCAGTTTTCACTCTGCTCTGACTTGTTGTTGCCATGTGCCTTTGGCACTATGACTTCATTTTTCATTTCCTCTTTGTGAATATGCTACTGTTAAACATGGCCTGTCTAATTTCCTTCCAGACTCATCTTCCTGTAATCAAGTCTGGCACGACCATTCATCCACCTGGAGACTCAAGTAAAAATGCTGGGAAGACATCGAACAGGGGCTGAATGAAGACGTAAAGCAACAAACACAGAACTGAGTTTATGCGACTGAGGAAGATGCTCTCTTGTTGTATTTCTCCCTGCTGCCTAAAAGTTAATACTGGTACATTCAGCTGATTTGCAGGGATGTCAACTGTCAACATAACTCCCTGCAAGGATTACAGTGCCAATCATCAACTGCACCTGGTTGGGTACAGCCTGATCTTCATAGGTGGTTTAGTGCTTAATGTTGCTGCAATCTGGATCTTCCTGTGTTACCTGAAGCTCAAATCAGTCGTGAGCTTCTATATGTTGAACTTGGCTGTGAGCGACCTCCTTTTCACAATATCCTTGCCTTTCCGTATTTACTACTATTACAAGGGGGAATGGCCCTTTGGAACCGTTCTTTGCCAGATCTCGGGCTCTGTCTTTCAAATAAACATGTATGGAAGCTGCCTCTTCCTCATGTGCATCAACCTGGACCGCTTTGTCGCGATTGTCTATCCACTACGCTGGCGCCACCTCCGGCGCCCCAGAGTGGCTCGGCTGCTCTGCCTTGTGGTCTGGGTGCTTATCCTCATGGGCTCCGTGCCAGTTGCCGGCGTCCACAAGACAACCAAATGTGCCAGACAAAACCAGTCAATCATTCTGTGTTTTGAAAGCTTCAGTGATGGCCGGTGGCAGAAAGGGCTCTTCCCCTTGATCATTCTAGCAGAGATCCTTGGCTTTCTCCTGCCTTTAACTGCTGTGATATATTGCTCCACAAGAATTTTTCAGAAACTGTGCCAGGCTGATAGCATACACAGTGTACGCCAGCAGAAGACAATCCGCATGCTTGTGGTCAACCTCATCATCTTCATCATCTGCTTTGTACCCTACAATGTCATCCTGGCAGCCTATGGATTGATGAAGGCTCATGTAATCCAGGTTGAGCCAGCAATGCGTGATTCAGTGCGTCAGGCTCTTGTTGTCACGGTGGTATTGGCCAGTATGAACTGCACTTTGGACCCCTTGATCTACTACTTCAACACAGAGGGCTTTCGGAATACATTAAAGAAACTGAGAAGAGGGCAAGCGTGGGACTCTGAAATTGGAACAGTTCAGAATCGGGTAGCAGAAGAAAGGTCCTACAAGGCTGCAGCTCGTGTTAAGCCAGGAGCCAAAAAAAAATTCGTTCAGGACTCGATCCTCCATTCTGAGAGCTTGCCATTTGCTCCCCCAAAGTTATTTTTGAATAGTCCCATCGAAGACTCTGAAATATAAGAACAGGTGGGCTGTCAGGCTGGTGGTGAGCTAAAGTCATGACAGCTTTTGCTTGCTGAAACTCTCTCAAAATGTGATGTTCAAAAATACAAAGCATCTTAGAACTCAGGGCCCTTCCACACAGCCCTATATCCCAGAATATGAAGGCCGAAAATCCCACTATATCTGCTTTGAACTGGATTAGCTGAGTCCATACTGTCATCTTCTTAGGTGATCCATCATTGTCCAAGTAGGATTGTCCTCCAAGATCAGTGTACTGGTGGTGGGTACATAGGTGACTGTGGAGCCCTATTCTTAACCTGCATGTTCTCCTGCAGTGAGGGCATCGGTTTCCAGATGGAAGGCGGTCCCGGTCAGGGTTGGCTTGACATGCTTCCCTCTTGGCACATTTCTCTCTTTCACCCTCCATTCGTGCCTCTTCAAATTCTACAGCACTGCTGGTCACAGCTGACCTCCAGCTGGAGCGGTCAAGGGCCAGGTCTTTCCAGTTTTCAGTGTCTATGCCAGAGTTTTTAAGGTTGGCTTTGAGCCCATCTTTAAATCTCTTTTCCTGCCCACCAACATTCCGTTTTCCATTCTTGAGTTCAAAGTAGAGCAACTGCTTATATACTGCCATATATTCCAATTCAAAGCAGATAATGTGGATTTTCTGACTTGATATCCTGGGATATAGGGCTATGTGGAAGGGCCCTAAGACTTCCTCCCATTTGGGAGAACAGTTTATGATGTTATACAAATTATCATGCTAATATGTGATACCACTGATGTAACTATGCATTACTAAGCCGGAGTGTACCTCCCATTGTTTACTATATGCCAACCACAGAATTGGCACTCAGCTGAGCTTTAAAAAGCTGAGGATTTTAAGGGCACTAATGTTCTACTTGAGTTCAAACTTCTATCTGCTCAGCCAGATGCTTGTACTCCTTCTACATAAAAATCAATTTCTTGTTACTCCAGTCAAACAGTTGATTGCTTATGAACAGTCTGTTTCTATCCTTGTTATCAACTCCTGTCCAGTTGCCTTCCACTTATGGCAACCCTATGAAAAAGATCCTTCCAATGGTGCATTTTTACCTACCAGGGAAATCCAGTGTAAAGGGCTCTGGGGCTGCTCTGATGCATCCCAGGAGCGTCCCCAGAGCCCTTTGGTCATCCACATCCAGTTCAAAGGTACATTGGGAGCACCAGCAAACAGATCTCTCCCAGAGACTTGCTGACAACATCACATTTCCTTGTTACACCACATATCCTTGTTACCCTGCCTTCCTGCACTATCACTGGTCTGTATCTTTTAAACTTTAGATAAATTTCATAAACCCAGTCTTGGGAAAGGAAAAGGAACTATTATTCTAAAATCCAAAATAAAAGGAAAAATCAGAGCTTTGGAACAGACAAGGAGATGAGGAAAATTCCGATGTCACTTTGCTAGCATGACAGTACAGAAGAAAAAGTGACCCATGTCACCAAGGTAAACTATAGGACTGTTGCGAGTTTTGAAAATATTGATTGGTTTTACCCATTAATAGGATGATCACAGGGAAGAGTCAGACCAGCAGTGGGATTTGCACAGTTTTGTGTGATAGGGACAATTCTTTGGTGACAGTTCACCTACAATGCTAATTTGCTTGCATTGTACAATGAGACCACAGTTCAAATCTCTCCTTGGCTATGGAACCCCATAGAATGAACTTGGGTGAGTTGTGCTCTCTCAAAGTATAAGGTGAAAGCAACAGAAAACCTCCATGAAATACATTTTGCTAACTTTAACTTTAAAATAGGGGTACCATAAACTGGAGTTAACTTGAAGGTACATTTTAAGGCTATAGAAGTGTGTGTTATCTGGCTAAATCTAGTAAAAGGCAGAGGGTGGAACTTGTGAGTTTCATTAATGCCTCCCACCCTGGACCCAGATTAACTGGGTTAAAGCACTAAACTACTGAGCTTGTTGACCAAAAGGCATGAGCTCCCTCTGTCAGAGGGGCATGAGCTCCCTCTGTCAGCCCCAGCTTCTGCCAACCTAGCAGTTTGAAAACATGCAAATATGAGTAGATCAATAGGTACCGCTCCGGCGGGAAGGTAACAGCGCTCCATGCAGTCATGCCGGTCACATGACCTTGGAGGTGTCTACAGACAACGCTAGCTCTTTGGCTTAGAAATGGAGATGACCACCATACCCCAGAGCCAGACTCGACTGGACTTAATGTCAGGGGAAAACTTTTAACTTTACCTATCATTTTATCAAGAATAGTCACTCTGCTTCACATGCCGCTGGCACTAATCTCTTGAACAAACTGGAACTGAGCTTTTCATTGAAAATCTCAGAAACCTGATCAGATATTCCATTCTGAACAGAAAAGATTACATAACATTATTGTGACAGCATTTTAGTAGTGAGTTATATTTTAGAGAGAACCCTCGGTGGCGCAGTGGGTTAAACTGCTGAGCTTGTTGACTGAAAGGTTGCAGGTTCAAATCTGGGGAGTGGTGAGAGCTCCTGCTGTCAGCCCCAACTTCTGCCCACCTAGCAGTTCGAAAAGATGCAAATGTGTGTAAACCAATAGGTACTGCTCCGGCAGGAAGGTTACGGCGCTCCATGCAGTCATGCCAGCCACATGACCTTGGAGGTGTCTATGGACAATGCCAGCTCTTCGGCTTAGAAATGGAGATGAGCACCAACCCCCAGAGTCAGAAACGACTGGACTTATGTCGGAGGTAAACCTTTACTTTTACCTATATTTTAGAGACCTTGCCATTTTTGACATTATCTAAATCAGGGCTTCTCAAACTTTTTTGACTTGTGACTTTTTGCCCAAGAAATGTTGGTATATAGGTATATTATAAAATAGGTATACAAATAAAAAATGTACAAATAACTCATAAAGAAATTAAATTTAAAACAATGCTTTGATATACCTATAATTTTACTATTTATTAAAGATTAAAACAAATTTTCATACTAATGAGAGAGATGTGCTTGCTTATGTTTACATAGAGAATTAAATCTTAGCTAAATATTTGAAACTGCAGGAGATAGAGTATCCTCCACCTTTTTCAGGCCATGCTGGCATGCATGGCTTGCAGCCCCAAGTGAGGAGTCCCCAGTGGCGCAGTGGGTTAAAGCCTTGTGCCCGCAGGACTGAAGACCGACAGGTCGCAGGTTCGAATCCGGGGAGAGGCGGATGAGCTCCCTCTATCAGCTCCAGCTCCTCATGCGGGGACATGAGAGAAGCCTCCCACAAGGATGAGAAAATACATTAAAAATCAGCCGGCGTCCCCTGGGCAACGTCCTTGCAGACGGCCACTTCTCTCACAACAGGATGCTCCTGACGCGACCAAAAAAAAAAAAGGCCCCAAGTGGCAGCTGAAGCAGGTGCTCCATGTAGTTGTTAACAGAGCCACATAAATGTCTGAAACAGCCACTAGATGGCAAACTACACACATTATTCGCAATCTCCAAATTCTGTTCGGGCAATGGTTCTCAACCAGTGGTTCGCAAACCACTAGTGGTCTGCGAAAACTAAAATATGGTTCACGAAACATTTAAAACTTTAAACCTTTATTCATTTTCAATTAATTTTTAATTTTTAATGAATCCGTTGCTATGTGGGTGGTACCGGTGAGAAGGACATCAAGCGAGCTCGGAAGGACGAGGAGAGGGCAAGTGATAAACGTCATGTGTCACGTACTCATGCCACCCAGTGTCAGTCAGTCACACATTTTATTAATGACTGAGATGAATGGTTAGGAGGCATGATCATCAAGTTTGCAGACGACACCAAATTGGGAGGGATAGCCAATACTTCAGAAGACAGGAGCAGAATTCAAAACAATCTTAATAGATTAGAGAGATGGGCCAAAACTAACAAAATGAAGTTCCACAGTGATAAATGCAAGATACTCCACGTGGCAGAAAAAATGAAATTCAAAGATACAGAATGGGCGGTACATGGCTAAAGAGCAGGACGTGTGAAAAAGATATTGGGGTCCTCATGGACAACAAGTTAAACATGAGCCAACAATGTGATATGGTGGCAAAAAAAAAAACCAACAGGATTTTGGCCTGCATCAATAGGAGTCTAGTGTCTAGATCCAGGGAAGTCATGCTATCCCTCTATTCTGCCTTGGTTAGACCATACCTGGAATACTGTGTCCAATTCTGGGCACCACAATTGAAGAGAGATATTGACAAGCTGTAATGTGTCCAGAGGAGGGCGACTAAAATGATCAAGGGTCTGGAGAATAAGCCCTATGAGGAGCGGCTTAAGGAGCTGGGCATGTTTAGCCTGGAGAAGAGAAGGCTGAGAGGAGACATGATAGCCATGTATAAATATGTGCGAGGAAGCGACAGGGAGGAGCGAGCAAGCTTGTTTTCTGCTGCTCTGAAGACTAGGACGCGGAACAATGAGGTCTCTTCCAACTCTATGATTTTATGATTCTATGATTTATCTTGCTCGGCTGTGTCAGTGATTCTGTTTTGCTGTTTAGTGATTATTATTATTATTATTATTATTAATAACAACAACAACAACAACTTTATTTTTGTACCCTACCTCCATCTCCCCAAAGGGACTCAGGGCGGCTTACACATGGCACAAAGTGCCTAAAACAATACAGAAAAAATAAACACACAATACAATACAAGACAAACCAGTAGGATATAAAACAACAATCTGATTAAAAACGGCGCCCAATAACCTATAGTGTCGACTGTCATAAAAACATGGTCAACTGTAAACAAGAAGAAAGGAAAGGGATCAATGGCTCCAGTAGTTTTACTGACTGTGAGCTCTCAATATTCACATTAATGTTTGACTTATTTAATGATGATTGAAATTGGAGAGGTTATAGAAGAAATCCAGGAAGAGCCCACGGAATTTCAAAATGATAGAAATTACAAGGACATGCTTAAATCTGATTCTCTTTAGGAGTTTGGGTGTTAAAAAAAGCAATTTTTATACTAAAATTCGAGGAATCGCCTTGCGCTATCTTATGCTCTTCTCCACAACATATTTATGTGAAGAAGGGCTTTCTGTTTTGCTGGTAATTAAAAGTCCAGGAATTGATTGAAATAATATGCGTGTAACTTTGAGCAATAATATTAACCCCAAGATTACCCAACTTGTAAAGAAGATGAAAACTCAAAAATCACATTGATGCAAACCAAATTTAATTTTCTATTTAAAATGTTCTTTTTTATATTATAATAGTACTCTTAATTCATGTTACTGTTAAGTTTAACAAATATGTTAAAAGCTTTGATTAAAAATTATTTTTAGATTAACACAGGTTTATTATTCTTGAACCTTGTGGTCCCTGATAACATAAAAAAATCAAAGTGGTCCCTGGTCAAAAAAAGGCTAGGAACCACTGAGTTAGGGAACCCCAAATGGGGATGTGGCCACAGTTTAAGAAGCTATGATCTAGATTGCTGCAGTGACAGAACTGGGAACTTTTGTATCTCAAACACAGAAACTTCCAAAATCTCAAAGGTCCATTAGCTTCTGGTTCATATATTGGTTGCTTCTGGTAATGGAACATCAAACCTCTTCTTGGATCAGACCAAGGGCACATCTACACTGACCACTTAGGTCAGTTTGAAAGTAGTTTAGATTGACATGACAGGAAAAGGTTTGAGACCAGGATGGTGATTATATTAACCATGGAAGCTGGCTTCAAACTGGTTCATGATTTTTTCTATTTTCAAGTGAAATGCACAGCAATGCTCTGGAAGCATAAAATGGAATGTGACAATTAGCAGGGGAGGTAATGAATTACCTGTTCCAGGGGGTCAATTAGTCCCCTGCTGTCCAGCTGTGTGTGTGGGAGGGGGTGCTTTTAAGCAGCCCTCTCATCTCCTCATTCAGAATTTTTACAGAGTGCCATACAAGCGAGCATCTATAAAGCACTTCGCATTCTGTGGAGCCAATTTTGCAGCACAGTGTCATCTAGATTTAAGGCTTGCTGAAGTGCATTAAAGGGTTTAACTCAGAGCGCTTCCAGACAGCGTCAAAATGCGGATCAAATAAGTGGGGCAAAAAATCGTCGGACCTGACAGCAAATCCAAACACAGACCTGTCAGTCCCGGTAAATGTTCCCCCACTGTCCTGACACCTTCCTTTGAAGCAGATTTTAGAAATCTGGCCTCATGTAAGCCGCACCGAGTCCCCCTGGGTGAGATGGAGTGGGGTATAAATAAAGTTATTATTATTATTATTATTATTATTATTATTATTATTATTATTATCCTTAAGATGTGTGGGGTCATCCAGCGGAAGTTAACTTTTTAATAAATTCTCTCTGAGATGCACTGGGTCTTATAAGTGCTCATATGGAGATCTAAATGTACATGCAAGCAGATTTTTTTATTCTCTCTCCTCACCTCACCTAAACTGTTTATGATCATAAACATCGGAACAAAGGAATGGTTGCAGAGAGTTCTAATTTTAATTAATTTCTAACTGTGCTTCCCTTTGGCCACCTGTGTGTCTGTGCCTCTGTTTGTTTACAGCCCTTGTCAACTGTTTTGAAACTTAAAAACACACACATTTATTTATTTATTTACTACGTTTATATACCACTTTTCTCCCCCCAAGGGAACTCAAAGCAGTTTCCAACATTATAAAGGCAAACTTCAATGCTGTACATGTGAAAATCAAAGGATAGTAGCAAGAAAATAACATGTAACTATAAATTAACCTAACCAAATTAAAACAAAAAATAAATAAAATAACATCTAGACACAAAGCATAACATTAAACATCAATAATATCATAACATTTATATTTAAGCCCACCGATAAACAACATGATTTTAAAATAGTTATTAAAATCACGCCATCAAAAAAAATATTTTTTTTAATGTGCTGGAGCAGTCCACACCAGGGTATACAAACAAAGTCATGTGTTTTCCACAACTGCAGGGATATAAAGTCATGCGAATATGCACATTTCTTTGGCGGGAATCAGGTTTGAGGCGCACCTTTTTAACATGTGCTTTTCGGCTCCTAACCTGATTCAGTGCACATTTTTGTGTCATTTAGCTTAGCCACCACCTCCCCTTTTATCATGGTTTCTTCTGAGTTTTAAGGCATGCGTAGAAGAACCCTCAGACTTTCCCCCAACTTTGCTTGACAGTCTTTAAACCTTTTAATTTACTCTGTAGCATGCTTTAGCAGCATGCATTTTCTAGCCACTATAGTTTGAAAATCAGCTTCAAGCTGCATTAAATGGTCGGTGTAGACATACTCTGGGTGTCCAGTTGGTCTAGTATCAGTTTTCCTTCTATAGCCAAGCAGATCCTCCTGGGAAGTCCACCAACAGGAAGGCAAAACACCAACACTCCTGTCACAAAATTTAGAGAAAATAGAGTTTGAAATATGGGGTGCACTAACACCAAATTTAGATTTGGACCATTTCCCCTCAATTTGCCCGGTGTTATTCTTAATCTAAAGTGAACAGTTTCTACTTTTATTATAGAAAGCAATTCTTTTGTAGAAGGTGCCTTCATTTGCAACTTAATTTGCAATTTAAAGAGATGATTTATTGATCAATTCCCCTTGATTCCAGACAAAAATCAATCAGGGCCAGCTAACACCTCCCAACAAAGGATTCCCCCAGGCAGGAAGCAGGCAGGCTTTGAAGCTGCAAGGCCATTTAATGCTAGTCAAGCTGGTCAGTTGCAACTTCCACACTTGCCTCAAACAGTAAGAAGTCTTTCTCCCACCCTGGACATAATTCCACAAATATATAAATCTCACTTGCCCGGTTTCCAACAGACCTCACAACCTCTGAGGATGCCTGCCATAGATGTGAGCAAAACATCAGGAGAGAATGCTTCTGGAACATGGCCATACAGCCTGGAAAACTCACAGCAACCCAGTGATTCTAGTCATGAAAGCCTTTGACAACACAATTCTCCTTATAGCTTTATCACATG